AGAAGATATAACATCAGCATTCTCATGAACTCGGTCTTGGCATCTTTTCTCAAGCCAGTTGTTTTATTGGCGACCATTCTGAAATGTTCGCTGACCCCAGTTCCTCGTGCTTATCTAACTTATGGGGTGCCGTCACATCAAATGAGCTGTGATCGATATTCTCTAGGAAATTTAGTAAGTTTGACTGATCCAAGTCCCGCTTAGTATTGGGGCTGGTTGACAGTAACGTTGCCCAAAAACGAGGATGCTTCATCAGAGCCAGTCACACTCTGAATCGTAGCAGTGCATGACCCGTGTTGGATACGGCTAACCTCATCACGTCTTTTTTGGAAAGCTTCTCCATTTATCAGACATGGGTTTGTCTTTATGACCTCTTTGATGCACCCAAATCGCGGTCAGTGCTCTTCCAGCATTGCACCATGAATTGCGGATGACAAGTTCCATAGTTGGATATATCCTTAGTAATCGGTGCTCTTGTCTTCATGACCCTATTTCTTGGTGGACCGATTAGTCCTATCTACGTTTATTTGCAACGCAAGACTGGAGTACTGAAGACATTCATATAGATGGGGTAATCAACTGGTCGAGTGGATGTGGTGACAGGTGGCAATTTCCATGGATTTTTTTCCTGTTCATCCAGGTGAAGCATGGTGGAAACATGCACGCTGGCAAAATTGGTGAAAAGTCCTCTTGACGGTCGAAACAGGATGGTCACTGTCTATTTAGTAGGTCAATTCAATCTACTGAATAGCACTATATCCATGCGATCGTCCACCACAACAGCAGTTCCATTTTCCCATTGTGTATGCTGTAGGATCGCAGGTCAGCTGAATATCTACCCAACTTTTATTAGTATCATTTGGCTTGTATGGTGTTTTTGTCTTGGAGTAACTAAATCGTCGCAATGGCGTTTCGGCATAGTGTTCTTTGTGACCATGGGCTTTTCGATTCTGTTGCCTTTAGCTCTGCCGAGATGATTTCTAACGTTCTAGGCTCCTGATGGAGATTTGGGTCTCTGATTTGTTCGTGTTTGCAAATGGTGCGACATTCATATCCTCGATGCTTTTCTCTGGCCCAAACATCTAAGCTACTGTCGGGCGGTGGATTTTTTCTCTTTGAAGCAGCTCTACAGAGAGTAACTCCTCGACGGTCTGAATCGCTCGACTGACAACAAACACGTGGAATTATCCATGTAAACAACAAAAAATAAAAGCTATGCGCTAGCATGCAAAATCTTCATCATTTGTTAGGTCGAAGCTTCACTTGGTTGCTGTGTTGACCTGCCTCGTTATTTCTGCCCACAATTGTCAAGTTTGATATCATTAAGTGGCAACGCAGCTGATCAGAGTCGAGTAGATCCTCAGTTGATATAGACTAACCAGAATAAATGGTGACTAACAGACGTCAGTGGCGTTCGTGCTGCCAGTTTTTATCCAGGTTGTCTGATTGAGCGGTTGAAGGTGTAGGCTTCTCAGAATTCCTGACATAGGCCAGCACTAGGTTCCCTCCCTCCCTCACTCACTCTCTTCTTTTTCACTTTAGGGCTTTCAACATAATTTATATATATA